TTAAATATTTGAAAGGTTGTCATTTGGAGGAGGGCAAGGAGCTGTTCCAGTTGGCAGCAGAGGAGGACCCGAAGCAACGGGCTTAAATTACATGCAGAAAGGTATCGGCTGGATATCAGGAGACACTTTTTCACGGTCAGAGTGGTTCAGAGGTGGAATCAGTTGCCTAGAGAGGTGGTGAGCTCCCCTTCACTGGCAGCTTTCAAGAAGAGGCTGGACGAATATTTGTCAGAGATGCTTTAGGCTGGTCTGTCAGCAAGCTGCCAAATCCTTTTATTTTGGTTATCCCATGCATGCGCTTGAGTGCTTTCGCTTTCATATGTAGACCTGTTGATGTGCTTAATTGCTTCGCTGCAGGAACGTCTATATCACTCAAGGCCACAGGTGGTTGCTGCTAGATAGTTGCTTGGGTGATCTCACGGAGGGCCGTGGGAAGGAGATATGTTATTCTGCCTAGAAGCGTTTTGCTCCCAGCCCCGATGGCGCACGCGGGAAGTCCCGCAATTGGGCCTCAGCAGTTTGAATGTACTATAACCTGTCATGCTCATTGCTTACCCCTCATTCCTAACAGTGATCCTGTACACGCACCTATAGCTTCAAATAAAGTAAAAGCTTTCTACAAGAGTGTACTTCATTGATGCTGTGGGGAAGCCTGACATGGTCCTGCATTGGGCAGGGGGTTGGGCTAGATGGTCTGTCTGGCCCCTTCCCACTCTATGATTCTATGATCTATATGGGCGGACTGGAGAGCCAGCTTGACGGCTGCAGTCGAGGTCGTTCTGCAACACTGAAGCCATGATCGGAGTGGCTCTGCCCCCCCCAACAGTCTCCTGTCCCCTGCTTTGCACAATTTTCTTGCAGGCCACGTGAGAGCCCTGGATGGGCCAGATCCGGCCCCTGGGCCTTGTGTTTGACACCTGGGGAATAGATCAAAGACGTGGCCAGGAAAAGCTGGTGCTCCGGGATCCCTCTCTCGTCACGGTCAAAGCGACACCTGCTCTGCAGGAAGGAGATCAGACCTGCGAGCCGGAGAAATGAGCTCGGCGGG